ATCATGTCACCCACGACCACTGTGCCAAAAGTGATACGGCTGAGAAGAAGATATTGTATTCTACTGTTTCTATAATAAAGCTTTATTATGTTACCTGTATACCAAAAAAGTTGGCTGATTGTACCTACATAGTACTTAGTAAACAATGGTGACCCCACAGCTATAGACCTTACCGAAGGTCACATCAGCTACATTTTTAATGAAACACTAAATGACCTTGTCGCTTTACTCGTGTACACATAGTTTGAAGTGAGTGTAAGTGTAGATGGCATAACTGATGGAAATATTCATGTGATAGATGTTCTATGAACGGTCAATAGTCATACGTTCTGCCTTTACTTGTGTAGATGGGGTCGTATGCCTATTTTTAATTACCTATGACGGTTTTGTTTTTAGGCCCACACACCATATACCCGGTAAACTTAAAAGTACTAATGGTTTGCATGATATCAAAACTCTCAGACCATGATAGTAAAAGTAAGATAGTATGTATGTGATACATTTTAAGACTACAAACAAAGCTAAATCTTGTCCTAACATAATATAAATCAGAATAGACACTACTAATCCAGTTAAAAGTGGCTCAGTTCATGTATTATTCAGTCGCTTTGTACCTAAATAAGAGAGACTAGCTAGTGACCCAAAAACGATACATTGCATTATGTCTCTGAGTGTCTATGTAAATCATAAAAGGCTAAAAATATCGATGCGAGCGACAATGTTAACAATAGGGGATTGTTTGAAGATCGTAATCAATGTCGTACCTTTTATTTCCCGATAGGTGGTTAAGGTGCACATTGTACACATAGTATGAAATGTAACTCCCACTTATCTTACCTTACTAATATTATAAATGTGAAATTTTGTGAGTTTGTATGTATATTTGTAACTTAATCACGTCGAAACGGCTAAAGGGATCGGGATAAAACTTGGAACAGCTCCCTATTGTGATGTTTCATGATTCCAGATCATAATCTGGATAGATTATGACTATGATAGACTACTTTTTATCCTACGGGAAAGCGGACAAAACCACGGGCAGAAGCAAGTAGTCTATTATGCTCTAATGACTATTATAGAGCTGCTGTCAACAACTGGTTATAATTCTATAGTATGTCGTCATCATCGTCATCATAATCATTATCACGTCGGTCGACGTCAAGATGTTCACTGCTTTTGAGCTAACTTCAAATATCTAAAGTCCTAACAATACTTCACCTGACCCGAGAAGTGAACCGAAACTCGGCCAAGGAAGTCTTTTGAAGTATAGTGATTAATTGTATAGGTATGAGAAGACGGAAGTTGTACATATAGCCACAGCATGGCGTTTTCAGCTAAATCGATGTCAACGTATCAAGGTCAGGGTATAGGGACGATAGAACACATGCCTCCACGTTAAACTATAGAATCCAGTATAAGCTGACCGTCCACTGTTTGGGAAGATTATACAAAACGCGATCATGATAAACTGGTTTTGCATAGGTCGATGTGTTGCTGTGTAGGTACTTGTGTATATTATGTATAGGGTATGTAAATAACTAATTGTCATTTTAGGGCTCGTACACAAACCTGCGAAGCGATGCGATGCGAATTCGGAACGCGAAGCGATTTCGTGCGACAAGGCGTCTGCCTTGTCGTCGAAGGAATGGTCACCCTGGGAGACCATTTCTAGGGTCCACACACCCTGGGGTCTCCCAGGGTGACCGTACTAAACGCATTTTAAATTAAAAACTAGGTCGTGACATGGATCGTAAAAAGAAGTGTGCACTTCTGTTATTGCTTAGAAGATACAGGAAAAAGAATCAAAGAAGATTTTGGGAAGACAAGATTTTAATGCGCGATGTGAATCAATTTACAAGTTCTTGCAATGCGTAGAGGAGCTCGCACATTTTTGCGATGCGACGTCACATAGCAGTTTTATGTACGATCCTTTAGGCCTTATGTAAGGCGTATGTCGAGATAATTGTACTTCTTCCATAAATAGCTTTTTTATGAGTTGTGTGGCAGTTTGACCAACGGAGTGGTGTATTATATAATATGCTATTTAGCACTTATCTACTTGTAGAGTACAAAACTATATTATATGGAATTGACGTAAATTTTGACACTTGTCAGTGTCATCACCATACATTTAGTTTTTACTTTCTCAGTAGACAAACGCTAAAGTGGCGTTTGGCTAAAGGCACTGATTCGGTTACATGTAGTAACTATTTATCTATTTAACTCGGAGGACTTCATTCTTATATTGAATAATTGTTAAAAACATTTTGTTTATAACTGAGTTCTTTTAAAAGATTATTTTTATCTTGTTAAGGTAACACTTAACTAAAGATTACGGGTTACTCACGTAAACTTACTGAGAAAAGCTCTACTAGTTTCGAGTCACAGAGGGACTCTTTCTCATGATCATGAGCAGCGTGCGCGGTCACGGCGATGTCGTGCAGACTGAATTGTAATTGTTACTTGTAATTTTTATTTAATTCATCATGTATCACGATAAATATTATAAAATCAATGCCATTTTTGAATTTAGTAAAAGACAAAAATAAAACCATACAAAACTAAGTGAAAATAGTAGAAGTGAAGGATATCAGCAGAAATCCTTGGAAGTAAGTACAGATAGCAACTTACTATGTAGAAAGTAGACGAAGCGTCGTCTGAGAGAAAAATATATTAAGTTAAACGCTGCTGACGTTACAAGGACTGAGGAATAACAACTGACATTTACTCGAAAAGTTATAAAATCTTTCCGATACTTTATTCAGAATTTGCGTAACTTCACTTTATACGGATACCACTACAGCAAAGTTCTGTGTCTCAGTATCACACTCATACTCAGTACGCCAAAGTGAATTAGGATATCGGTGTCATACATGACATAACGCCTTTTATTTCCTGAAAGCGAAGAGTGAAGAAGAGAGAATATTTTCTTTATCGTGGATTTTATTTACTAGGTCAGAATGGCCATTGGACGTAAAAACGAAATAACTACCTACATAAGAAAAATTAAGCGAAAAGTCATCTACTTTTCCTATACCTATATGTCACTTGTCTCCAAACCAGAAAAAATTATGTCACAAAATGCTCCGTTGAACGTGAAACAAACAAACACAATTTCGGACTCAGGTGTTAGTAAAGATTGTAATTACCTTCAACCTAAAAATAGTACAAACACCGTACTAGTTATTAGGCTATTAGGCATTCATTAGGTCATTTCGCCTGAAACCTAAATACCTAAAAAGCTACTTAATATTCATAGAACCGCAACTTTATCAATTTACGCATCAAAAAAATACTTTGATACCTACTTAAGAAATGTTTGAAGTTAATAAAAATGAACTTAAAATGTCATTCGGTCTCGTGTCACGAGTCGAAGGGCACGACATTGCCATTATGGCTCAAATCGTAACCACTGGCCTTGGGTGTTGCATTTAGTCGTAAAAAAGAAAAATGTGCGAAGTGTCAGTTCCTGGTTCCACAATATATGATACAACTTTCAAGACCTAACTGAAAATTGTTTAAAGTTATTTTTATTAATCGACGAGCTTTTTAGAGGGATTTTATTATTACTATGAGTTTTATTATATAACAGACATTTTGTTCTTTTTTTATATTAGGTGGTACTCACATTTGACCACTATCTCGTCTGGTGGTAAGCGATGATGTGGCCTACGATGGAGCAGGACCCATAAGCAACCTATTCACTCGGGCCTTGAAGACACCCAGGTTATACCCTTCAGGAAATACAGACTCTGGCTTCAACATATTAGGTCTTGATTACTTACGAAAAATTAATGCTTAGATGTGTTTTCTCCTGAAACGTTTATTTAAGTACCTGGAACTTTATACATAGTTCGCATTTATTTGTGGCACTTCTATCTATTTTACTTTGATATTGTATTCTATATAAAACAACTGGAACCAACCCAGTGACACTATAATAGTACGATTGACAAACATGACGGACTGAGTATGGGGGGTGTATAAACTGACATAATGATACCCATCTAATGATTTGTGCATACAATTTAATCACGAGATCTAAGTCTACAATCTCGGGTATAAAGTTAGATATCATTAGTAAGCCTATGGTGGCGTTAAATTAATATTATAATTATAACATCACGCCTCTTATCCCCGAAGGGATAGGCAGAGCTGCACATTACGGCATGTAATGCCACTGTATAATGTAGCATCCACTTTTGACTATTTATGTTATGAGTCCCACGTAATAGGAGATGAGCCTATTGCCATATACTGGGCACAATTCCGGACTCCGGACAAAACTGAGATTTAAAGAAAAACCAGTAATATCTTGCGGGCAAAGTATTACTAAGTACTAGGTCGGGACCCAGGAATCGGACTCGGCAAAACAAACAACAAAATCGTTGCTATAAACTAGAATTAGTTTAAACTGTCAAACACCAAGCGGTCACCGGTGACCGCAACCTATTGTTCTATAATAGTGTCTATAACGACGGTACTCGACGAGTTAAGTAATGATTAACTTATGTTTCTGATTAGATTATTATGGTAACATTACGAAAAAATTAAAATTTTATTATCATCCCCTAGAATTAGAAAACTACCAGAGGACATAAAGCTTAACTAGTCCTTCGCTTGACCTCTCTGATATCGGATTGTCGTATCACGGACATGAGGACAAGAGACTAGAGAATACACCTGTGTTTGTGCTAACTTTTGCACTTCTCCTGCGTAGTTTACTCGACTTTTTAACTGAATGTTAGAAAAACGTTATATATTATTATGATACATTGACAATAATAAGATATTGGGAGTTACACGTGTGTAGCGAGACCCTATTTTCCGGCGGAAACACAGTTATTATAATACAGTAATATGAAATAATATTGTTTTGATCTCTATTATTGATATTTGTGGAATATTTCATATTTGTTTGTTGTTATGAAGAGATTCCCTCTTAAGTATGAAAATCATCCGTTTTTTATTGCGTTTGATATAAGAAGGATTTGGTAAACATGAGAAATACTACTACAGGTACTTACAAGTATTCTTAAACATTAGTCACAATTTTAAGGACCGTTATCATATATATATATATATATATATATATAT